CTGGCCTCAAACTCAGAGTGATCCTCCTATCTCAGCCTCTTGAATGCTGTGATTACAGACATATGCCACCATACCCAGCATGCTGGTGTATGCAATATGCATTTACAACTACTATACTACATATTAGCTGTATTACACCTTTTTATACCATTTTAATGGCTTCCTCAAGGAACGTAATGTAAGGACATCTGGTCTGCTAAGTCAGGGCCTTCCTTTGCATTATTGTAATTAAAGACCCCCTGTCCCCATGGGACTGTCGTATATGTACCACCAGTGGTTCAAGTTGGGAGAAGTGATAAATTCAACTCCGAGCTACCAGACAGCTCATGTGAATTATGGCTCTGTCATGAACATGTTAAAGCTCATTCAACTTGTCTCTGGTGGTCCTACAGAGCCAGCACCTGGCAGTTCTAGCCTTCATCGTTATGGTTTGGAAGAAAAAATGTCTCCCTGTTCAGAGGAGGGACCAGCTGTGTTTGGCTCATGGGATGCTAACCTCACTGGTGATTAATCTATTGATTAGTTTAATCCATAGCGCAATAGTAGATTAGGAGGTAAGGCCTAGTCAAACGGAAATGGGTCACAGGGGCATGATCTTGGGGGCTATGTCTTACACCTGGCACCTCTGGCTGTCATGAGGTGAGCACCTTTCCTCTGTTATCCTCTCCACTCATCACAGCCCCCCCCAAAAAAAGAGTCAAGTGACCATGGACTGAGCCTCTGAAACCATGAGCCCAAATAAACCTTTCTTCAAGTTGTTATTCTCAGGTATTTTGTCACAGTGACAGAAAGCTGAATAACACAACTTTGTAACATCTGTAACTGAATTATAATGATCTTCCTTCCTGGCTATCTCAACTTTCTACATTTATCTCAATCTTAATTTACCTTAAAAAGTAGGCTCTATTCTTTTATTATGAAAAATAATTTTACCAAAAAAGTGTTATGAGCATTATACTCAGTCATTGTTCAGCTTCATTCCAATTCCTCTTATTGGTGACACATGGTATTTTTACAGATGTGATCAGTATCTGTATACTTCTCTTATCCTTATTTTTCTACACATATTTCTCACTTTGAGTTCACCTGTTTTTCATAGTAGGTAGCTATAAAGTATTTCACCTTAATTATCAGTTAAGCCTTTTTGCTTAACTGATCCCCCCCCCCCCCGTACCAGGAATCAAACTCACAACCTTGCATTTGCTGGGCTGGTGCTGTGAAATCCCCAGCCTCCTTCTTTTTCTTTTTGAGACAGGGTCTCGCTATGTAGTTCAGGCTGGCCCGGAACTCACTTTATAGCCCATGCTGGTCTCGAACTTGCAACAATCCTCCTGTCCCAGCCTCCCCAGTGCTGGATTACAGGCACACACCACCACGCCTATCTTAACAGATTCTAACATTCACAGAAACCACAGTTCCTCTGTATCCATCTCTAACAAGTTAATATGGATCATTTATTTCATTTTTTCTTGAAAGTTGCAACTTCACTATTTTCACCAGCTATATCAAAACAGGACTAATGAAATAAAGTTTAAGATGTATGGGCCATCCCAAGTAATGTTTTGCTAAATTATACACTCTATTTTTGTTTTTGAGACAGTCACACTATATAGTTCAGACTGGCCTTGAACTATGTAGCCCAGGCTGGCCTCAAACTTGCAGTGATCCTCCTGCCTCAGCCTCCCAAGTGCTGGGGTTACAGGTATGCACCATAATGCCTGGCCACACTGACTCTTTCTGCCATGTTTCATCTTATATTGTTCATTTATCAAGAGACTTTTTTCTTTTTTTATTATATTTCAGTTAATTCATTCATTGGTGGCTGAAAATGAACTTTGGGCTATGATTCACATTTGGATAGCAAACTACATTCTACACCTCATTTCCTCTTTAGTACAATAACTTGCAAGGAAGGAAAACAAATTTTAACTTCACCCTGTTCGTCTGAATCCAGCCTCCTTGTGTACGTACAAGGGCTTCTCTCCTTGCAGTACAGCGCTCCCACCTCAACACTACATAGATCTCTCCTTTGGCCCAACAGGATAAACCCACTCAACCCGAGTGGACATCTTTTTCTTTTCTTTCTTTCTTTCTTTTTTTCCTTCTCTTTCTCTCTCTCTCTGTTTTTTGAGAAAGATCACACTACAGTTCAGGCTGGCCTCAAACTCAGTTATCTTCCTGCCTCTGCCTCCCAGGTGCTGGGATTTCGGGCCTGTGCCACCGTGCCCTGCTTTTCTAACACAGAGATATGCAAAATCCTTTGCTATTTCTTCACTATTTATGCCACATATACCTGCTACTGGTGTTTTGGAACCCTGATGGATAAAGTACCAGATAAGGGGGCCAGGGATGTGGCTCAGTGGCACAAGCGCCTACCTGGCAAGCGCAAGGTCCTGAGTTCGATTCCTGGTACTCCCCTAAAAAATAAAAATAAAAAAAAAGTACCGGATAAAAGGATCTGGGAACGAATTCTGCTTTCCAGTAAAGCATGTTTTCATGTAAACAACTCCTTTCTAAAATGTCTACATACTTTTTTAAAGTTACAGTCAGGCTGGGGAGGCAGCTCAGTGGTACAGTACTTGCCTAGCATGTGTGAGGCTCTTGGCTCAAGTTCTAGGGCCACAAAAACAAAGACCGAGATAAACAGTAGTTAAGGCGGCTTCCTTGTAGTGATCTTGTGTCTACAGTCTGGCCCTCGGCTGCAAAACCACCAGAGGGCGCTCATTCCCTGTCCGTCCTGTGTCCATCGGCGACTCGGACAATCCAAGTTAAACTTCATTTTGACTCTCAGGACAAGTCCTTCCCGTTTAGCGCACAACTGTTCGCTGAGAATCGACTGCGCTGCCCGTCGCGGGGCGGGCTCGCCATCCGCGGCACGGCCCTACTCCCGGAGGCCCCGAGCTCGGGAAGACTGGTCAGCACGGAGCCGGCACGGGAGTGCCGAGGCCCTGGAGCCCGCCGGTTGGAGACCCTCGAGTCCGAGCAGCCTCGCGTCACTCGGGGTCCAGGGCTGCCTCTGTTCAGTTCGGGGCAGCGGCCTCGCCCTCCAGGCGCTCGCCGCTAGGGCTGGGCACCTCCGCCCGGGCGGCGCTGTCGGGCCGCGCCGCGAGACGCCCGCTCCCGCGTTTCCCGAGGCCGCCTGCGGTTCCAGACCGTTCGCGTCGCACCGCAACCAGTGGTGACCGCGGGCCCTGTCCTTTTCCGGTTTAAAACCCGCGGGCTTTTCCTGTTCTGCTGGCCGAGGGTTCTCGTACGGATTCTCGCGAGAGTGCCGAGGGCTCGCGAGAAGTTTGCTTCTCGTCCTTCTGAAGTTGCTGACTCGCGTGGATGAGGGTCGTCGCCCTTCGCCCGCCTAGTCCGGACCCCCTGCAGGGAGTCCCGTCCGCACAGCTCGAAAGCCCCTAAAGGCCAGGCTCGATTGCGTTCTGCGGGCCGGCTTCCGGGGCGGAGCCTGACAGTGCCCCTCCAGTGTCGGGGGGCGG